ACAGGCTGGCCAGCTAGCAGGTTCATATCAAACATAAATGAACCATTCAAGATTCTCTCTTATTTTCATTTTCTATTTTCATATGAGCTTCTGCTAACGTAACCCTTTAAAGTTTACCTGATTCTCCATTTAATGTTTCTATGATTTCTAGTTAATCTTAAGCTCAATTCTTTAAAGTTTCTCCCTCTTTTTTAGTTAATCTTAAATATTAATAACTCTTTAAAATTTCCCTGTTATGCTAATTTTGTAAGGATTCGCTCTTATTAATAACTCGTAAGTTTCAATAGCTATGCCAAACTTTTCCCTCATTTCTTTGCTTTACAACAATTATTTCTAGCGAATTGCAAATACATATATGCTTCTAAAGATTAAGAATAATAAAAGCTTGTCTTGACAATTTCCTTTAAATTGAAATAATTTTTTATAGCGTGGCTCAAGCTAAAACTTATCGCAAAACTTTCTCGCTTATTCCAATATGTCTTGCATTAGCTTTTTATATAACTCAATAAAGTCTATGAATTGCGAGCTCTTCAAAGTTCCTAATTCATCTTAAACTTACTTAAATCATTAAAGCTTCTCCTTCATTTCATACCTTTCGAGAAATTCTGACAGATATACATACATACCTTCTCTTTAAGGCTTTTGAATACATGTGCTTATGCTTTATATCTTTTCTTTAAGTAAATAGAGTTTTGTATACTTTCTCTGCTTCATCTGCTTAAATATTTCTACAGGGCTTCCTTCTTATAGAGAAGACTCGTCAGAGAACTTCGCTTTTCTCTATTTTATAGATCTGAAGTTTAGAGAGCTCCTGAAAATTTATCTATTGATTAAATTCACAGATTTTTTGCTCTAAGATGCATGTTTTTTTTTTTTAATGATCTTTTTTATTATCTCTTTAAGGAGTCTCTCTCTCTCTCTCTCTTATTGCATGTTCGCTATGCAAACATGATTCTTGAGTTGAAAAACTTCTTCAAAGTTTCGCTTGCAGCTCAAAGTTTCTCAAGTTATTTGTCCTCTTAGACTTGAGTAACTTCTTAAGGTTTCTTTGTCCATAGATAACCAATGTCTGATAATGCATAACCCGGCAAAAAGTGAGCAGCAAACTCTATGATATGCACAAGGGTTTGCCCTATAGACGTAGACCCCCCTCGACCTCACACTCTCTCTCGCCGAGTGCTCAATCTGTCAGATCGCTCATGAATTGTGTAATTTAAGATGTTCGCGCTTCATGAGGACATTTAAAGTTCGTGAATTGTGAAAATTACCCGATTCGATATGCGCGAAAATTGTGCAACGAAGCCAACAAATATTTTGCATGGCTCAATCTTCGTTTGCCATTTGGGCTGCAGCAGACCCTACTCCTCTCTCACTTTCTCTATTGCTTTCTCTCTTGTCGGTCTCCTTACCCCCTTCGGGCAAGTTGTGACAGAACGAAAGGTAGCGAAATGCGTTGCATTTTAATCGCTCGTCCTGGCCCAAAAATAGAGAAAAAGGCTGCTCCTTTTGCAGCCTTTCGTCGTCGTCGTCGTCCTCGTCGTCGTCGTGTCATAAGTGTGTGAAAAATTGATAGACTTGTCATGACCCGGCCCAGGTGGGGTGGGTTAGACGACAGTCGTCCCGTCGCTCCGACGTCGTCGTCATCTTCGTGCTGTCCGCCTCTTTGTATGGCAGCGCACATAAAATTGCATAAATGTCAGGCGACTGTCATGACAACCTCTTGTAAACGCCCCATAATTTTTATTATTAATGACATCAACGCATTATTATCGAACACCCAATGGCCCATCAATATTTTTAACTCTTGCTGAGCACATTTTCGTTCCGTTCGCTTCGAAGTTCTTCGAGCTCTCCTCATTAGGCGAGACGGCTGCTCTACTCTTGCCCATTCGAGTGCAAATGCCTGTTCAAGTTGAAATTTCAACACATTTTTAGTTTGTCTTATACTATTTCGGAATTCACATTGACCTAGATACTATTCTGGCTGCTGTTGCCAACAATCTGCCTTAAATTCTAAAGCGTATAGAAGCTTAAGCTAAGTCTGATCCATCTTGAGCTTCAACTGATTAAGCAACCCATTCGAATTTAGCTGGATTTCCAAACAATTAACTTCACGAGCTTAAAGGTAATTTGCGTTGATGATACTTAATAACTGTACAACGATTTCCATTACGCTTCGTACAGAGTATTCTGCAGTCGAGAGTACTCTACTGTACTAGTGTACTCAAAGTTAGACTGTAAAATTAATTATACAATTTATATTTATGCAATTAAAAAAAAATATATATTTACTCAGAAATAAAGCAACAACATTCTTAGACTACATAATACACTCTTATGGTCTGTTAATTGTTACAGCTAACTAAACTAAGTTAGCCGGTGCGACGAAATGGGTAGAATTTTGACACTAAGATCAAGAAGGGGTTTTTTGAGTACCCCGTATATCCTATTATTCGTAGAATATAGATAGAAATTCGTAGAAGTCAGCTCGCTCAGAATAAAATCATGAGTCGGTACAATGACAGATTGGAGCGGCACAGAAACCGGCTGGCAAACATGCTCAATAGAAACCGAACTCCTAGGAGGCTGAAGCGAAGGCAACCAAGGGATCCAATTCTACGATCTGCTTTTATTTTTATTTTATTTTTATATATTCTTGTAAATACTTGTAAATTGAGCAGAATAATTAGACAATAAGCTCACAAAGGGGTTACTGGAGTATCTAATATGGCTTCAATAAACATTATTGTCATTAAAATATTCAAAACTCATTGCCTACTTTTGGGGATTTCATATAAACAACGCTACAGCTGCATTGCAATGCATTAGAGTAATAAAATGCTGCATACTTTTAAGCGCGGGCAAAAACAAGCGAGTTCGGCAAATTGTAGCATACTTCCTGGGGCAAATATGGACTGACGTGAATATGGCTCTGAATAGACAAGACCCCAGTAGCTTCGTGTGCTTTATTTATGTTACTTACATTATATTTTGCTTTTATATTAATTATAACGACTAATAAATAAGTAAATAAGCTGTGAAGAGAGCAATGTATATATTATATCATAAGCTTTCTAGCTGACTACCTCATGTCACCAGGTAGAGTGACCCGTGAATATATATCTGTCTCAATATATTTATCTGTATATTTCTCTCTCAGAAAGAGAAGATCGAGTATTCTATACCCTCTAGCTCCCATCACTTTTGCTCTGTGTCTGCCTTCTATATATCTACCTTTTCTTTCCGTGTTCATGCCTATCTCTATCTCGCTCTATTTGATAATCGCCGATTTCATTCCAATTTTCCCATCCAGGAAATTAACAGTTTTTTTTTTTTTTAGCAAAAAAAATTTATTTTAGATGTTATTAGATGTTTTTTTTTTTTTTCTTGCTTTTTGATTTGTCTTTAAACTAAACCGTTTGACTTTCCTTCTCACTCTCTTTCGCTGTCGCTCGTTCTCGCACTGTCTTTCATTTCATACACTTCTCTTTCTATCTGGTATTTACAATATTCAGTTAACATATTATTAGTTAGTTATACAATACAATACAATAAAATTGATTAAAATACATAAGTAGATGTTCATATCTCTTAAATGTTTTTAATTAAAACAAAAAATAAAAACACTGATTTAAGTAATTTAAAATACGGTTGTAAGCACGACAGGCCGATGCTTTCAATGGACTCTCCCCGCCAACATATGATATAGTCTATATATACACACGATCGTGGGCGCAATTCGAAGAGTTTTTTCACCCTTGGTAGGGGGGAAATCGTATGAAAATTGTAATAGAAAAGCATTTTGCTTGCTTTGCTCCTATGACCGCCTAGATTCTATTTAGATTATGTTTACATAGATTTAGCTTTGGTTACATTACTTTTTGCATGTTTTTTATTTTTTTTTTTTTGGTATTTTCTTTGTATTTTTGGTATGCCTAAGTAAAAAAAATATTTTATTTGCATTTGTGTTGGAAAGAAGTCGTTAGAATAATACATTGATTATATGTAAAATGTTTATATAGCTGGTATGTGCTGTGTATATATGTAAACACATATATACATATGTATATATATAGAGACACTATGCAACATATGCAAGAGAGTAAAACACAAAAATACTTGCAGACATTACGAATGAAAATGGAAATGAAAATGAAAATATATTTTTTTCAATTCAAATACAAGAGATCAATGTTTTAACATTTCATTTAAGTAAAGTTAACAAAATGGACAAAAACAAAACGAAAAACGTGTTGCATAGTGTTCTGTTTTTTTTGTTTCCTAATTAATTATACTCATTCACGAAAGTGAATTATTATACTCATTCACGAAAGTGAATTAGTATATTGGTTTTGTGCAATGTCCGTCTTGCTGTCCGTCCGTCCGTCCGTCCGTCTGTCCGTATGAACGCAATCCATTTCGGCGCTATTGAAGCAAGAGACTTGAAATTTGGATAACATACTCGTGAATATCTCTGATTTATTTATAAAGTGGTAAAATTTTTCTGATCCGCCCATTAGGGGCGTAGCAAATCGGAAAATGCATTTTCCAATATGACAGAAATCATATTAATTAAAGAACCAGAAAGCTGAAACTTGGAATTCAGATCACCTAAAATCTCGAGCTATGGCGGATATATCTACGCCCATTGGGGGCATGGCAAATCGGATAAAACTGTATCTTCAATAGTTTTACAGCTAGAGCGCTGAAATTTTGCACGTCTGATAATGCTGTGATTCTATAAGGTCAAAAAATTATTTTATAAGTCTACGCCCATTAGGGGCGTGGCAAATCGGACCTGAAGATATAGTGATTTTTTAAATTCTGCTTTATTTTGGACACTATTGATGCCAGAGACCTCAAATTTTGTGTATATACTCTGGCTGATCACCCAAGTTCAAGTCGGGAAAAACTGAATTTCCTACAGTATTAGAGCGAAACTTAACTACTAAATTACTGATGGGCTGTGAATGAGTATTCCGCAGTCGGTAACGCCCGACTGCAACGTTCTTACTTGTTTTTGTTTTTTTTTTTTTGGTATGTGTGTTGCCTAAGAAGAAAGTCTCGATCGTGCATGTCATAAGTAAAGTATTGCTAGGCACCCATCTATATATACATATATATATGCTATATATATACATATATATATAGAAAGAGATAGACCTACAGGGTCTTCAGCATGGGCGCCTTGCCGCTGGCGCTGCTCTTGTACGTCTCGTAGGAGGCACTGGCCGCATGCAGCTGCGCGTAGCCGGAGCTGTTGGCGACAGCGGCTGCCACAGCCTCGGCGCCATTGACCACCGTTGGGGTAATGGGCTTGTGGGGCTTGTAGCGCTGCAGCACCTCCGCGGAGGTGAGTTTGAAGGTCTCGATCATTTGACTACGCACGCGCTCCATTAACTGATCGATGTCGTTTTTGGTCAGGCCCTCGGTGCTAACCGGCGGCAGCGTGGTTATCACTATCCGGCCGGCATTCAATATCTTCTTCTTGTCATTGAGAAATGTGCAGTAGGAGCTGAAGACAACCGGCAGTATGGGTATCTGCTGGTCGATGGCCATGTGAAAGGCGCCCTTCTTGAACGGATGCAGTTCGCCCGTGTTGCGGCGCGTGCCTTCCGGGAATACCCATAGCTTAATGCGTTGCTCCTTGATGCGACGATTGACGGCGTTCAACGTGTCGCGGGCCTTCTCGCCGCGCACCCGATCGATGAATATGAGCCCGGCCAACCAGGCAGCCAGTCCGAAGGGCCAGGCATAGAACAGCTCCCGCTTAGCCACCACCGTGCACTTGTTCATCACATGCCAGATATTAAACATGCCTGCAAGGGACGATTAGGGACGATTAGCTCAAATAGCATGATCAAATATATATATGTTTATAGATTACCCAGCACATCCAGCGAGCTCTGATGATTGGCCACGATAATGCATGCGCGATCCTTCTCCAGATGCTCCTTGCCTCGCAGTTCCCAGCGCAGTCCAATCAAAGCTGTGACACGATGACACCAGGTGCTGGCCCATCTGAAAGTGATAGACTAGTTAGTTTCTGTTCGAAAGGCTTTTTGCATTCATGAGAATCGCAAAGAGAGGTCAATATTATAAATATTGATAACAGCGCAGCACTTCTACAAGTTGCATTCCTTATTGACTGTTGTAAATCTTATATGTAGAGCAAACAAAGATTTCAGATTTGCTCTACGAACAACACTCGACTCGAGTGGCATTTGAAATCTCAGTCTGGGCCGAGCCAGTTCAAAATTCGATTTAACAAAATTATGCACTAAATAGAGTGGGCAAATTGGAGGCAAGTAAGTAAAGAGATGAGTTCTGCATTCAGTTGACTTGCAGTCGGCTTTACGATGGGCCCGAATCTATCAGCAGAATGCCCACTCCAACGTGGGAGGCGTCAAGGATCATCAAGAAATCGAACAAGAGCAGCATATTTCCGGATGATGGGAGACGTCGACCGCAAACGTTTGTGCCGCCATCGGAACGGAGAGCGGAACGTACGCAAATGTCTCTCTTACTTGGTTGGGAATACGGACGGGAATGGCTGGCGGCGCGCGATGAGGCCCGGCGTCACGATTCCATCAGGTCACCACAACGGTTTATTGAACCCGACTACAACTGGTGGCTCAAGAAGCGTACGACTACGCTGGATCGCCGGAAACTCTACACACGTTCGCGTACCCCCCAAACGAAGACCTACATGCTGTCCGCATTCGAAACGTCCAGGACGCAGCGCCAGGATCAGAAACAGCTTCAGCTGCTTCCCGAACCGGGCACAACCCACGACATCCAGTGCGAGTGTGCCAACTGCAAGCAGAGCCAATGTCGCACCGCCTCGAAAGACCAGACTCCAGCTCCAGCTCCAGGCAATGCCCGGCAAATCTAAAGTGAACGGGATTTTACGAATTGAATCAGACATGACAAAGGTAGAGTGCGGCAAGAGATGTTTTCTCATGCTAGGCTAGTTTTATATGACAGCGTTGCCACTTGGTCATAGCAGGCTCATGTGGCAACAAATTTAATAGATCTCCTTGAGAAGCTATCTATCTACGATTTCAATATTAGATCAACTTAACTGGCGGCGTTGCCACCTAGTTATATTTGACACCAAAATAGGTTTGTAAGCTTCGTTCATGGTCTGCTTGATCAGGATATTTGCTATGCTTGTTCCGCAGCGTTGCCACCTAGTCAAAGTGCAGACATATGGCAACATCAGTAAAGCTTATAGATGCATCTATTTGCTTACCTAATTGCCACCCAGTACTAATTTTATTCACATTCAGATCCAATATAAAGCTGCAAAAAGTTCAGTCAGCTTTAATTGATAATTGATTTTTAATTTTTGACCAGAAAATGAGAAAACGTCGCCACAAACACCAGCAAAGAGAAAAGAGCAGACAGGCAGACCAATAATGTGTTTAAGTTTTTCCCTCAGGTTTTTTCCCCGCTACAAAAATGGATACCAAAAATATACACAATTTTTTGGCATCTAGTCATAAGGCGATTCTCTATCGAGAAGATCACCGAGTGCTGTGCAGCTGCTAAGGTCGCATACCGAGCGGATTAAACGGTCTAAATTATCGCAGTGTATTGGGTGATCTGAACCTTGATCCCGATCCCCAATCCTCGATTCAATTGATATTTGACATATTTCTTATATGCAAATTCTACTTTGAAAATTAAAGACTATCTATCAATGTTTAATTCTCACGTGTTTCATTTGAATTTCAATAGTAGTAATTGCAAGGTTACGATTACCATACATATGGATCTATATCCATATGGGGGATATATGTATGTATAATTTTGCTAGCAGTTGTGCAACAATTGAAGCCCACTTGGGTCACAAATCGAACATAGCTACAAATATGTTAAATAGTCGACGTTTGAATACTCCGCACCCCAAATAATATTATATTTACTAGAAAAATCCAACAAAAAATCTATCTTTCTCTTTCCTCTTCTTGTGTTCTCTGTCATCGCTTTTCTTTTATTCTCTGCTTTTTGTTTCTCGTTAATTCATTTCTGTCCTTTTCTTTACATTATTTCTTGATTCTATTTTAATTTTTATGCCCTGAACCCATTGAAAATGGGAAATCAGGGTATAATGGTTTTGTGAAAAAGTATGTAACGGGCAGAAGGAGGCGTGACAGACCCCAAAAAGTATATATATTCTTGATTAGCGCGACGAGCTGAGTCGATATAGCCCTGTCCGTCTGTCCGTCCGTCCGTATGAGTGCGTCGATCTCAGAAGTTATAAGAGCTAGAGAGCTGAAATTTGGCATGCATACTCGTGTGTACCATACGCAGTACGAGTTTGTTTTATTTTTTCGATAAATCATCCGATAACTTTTTATCGAGAATAATCGAAAAATTGATTTTGTTTTTTAAGCCTAATTTGAACACTTTTAGACCTGAATGGATACAAAGATTTTGTAATTTACAGATTTTGGATACCACGCCCCCTTCGCCCCCAATTTGTAAAAAGCGCATTTCAAGTACAAGAGACTTTTGCTTTGGAATGTACACATATTTTAGCCATATGATTATGCTCATTAAGATTGTGTGTCTACAAGAGAAATTATTCAACAAATAAATTCTCATAATATTGCCCACACTGCATTGCAGCCCAAGCGCAATCGCTGCTTACTGCGCAGTTAGCAGAGCGTAGGCTTATGCGTGCGTGTGGATGCATGTGTATGTATGTGTGCATAAAAGAAGTGCAGAATGATTAGAATATCACCTTAGAGGGTTCAGGGTATCTCCTAGTCGAGCAGTCTCGACTGGAGCCTTCTTACTTGTTATGTACTGCTTTTCCCTAACTTGATTTTCTATGTGTCTTTTCACTTGCATTTCCTTCCATTGTCTCTTCTCTAGTTTACACTCGTTTCTTCCCTTTTCTGCCCTTTGCTTGTATTTCCCATTTCCCTTTTCTTCTTTTCAATTATCTCTGCTTCCATTTTCTTTTATTTTCATTTTACTATTCTCTTAGATTCTTAACTCTTCTCTCTTACTTTCTTTTATTCTATTCTCCAACAACCTTCTCAAAATCAGAACAATTTTTATAAAGGTTCTATTGATTGCTTCTACCTATGTATATACTATTTGTTTGCCTTGAGCAATTATCTATTTAATATAGCTCTATCTACTATATAATCACATATGCTCAAATTGTATCCAAAACAAAACCTCTTGAGTGGACCCACTAACTTTTCGATCGATAAAGAACTTGGCACGACGTTTATTATATTAGAGAGAGCCACAGATCGAAACAAACAAGTTATATAACAGTAAAAATCGGTTTAATTGAGCTACACTATAAACACCCCATAAAAAAAAAAAGAAAACAAAAACAAAAACAATATCCACTCATTGCGTGATAATAAAATCATAAATTCGACCTAGGCACGCACAATTAGGCCCAATATGAAAATGTATATACTCTATGTGTCTTTAATATTGAAAGGGTGCTACCAACATATAGATACAGTATATATACATACACATAACGTTATTTTTTGTTGGTTTGGAATTTCGTTCAATTTGCAGCTGATGCATTTTGATTAAATTTTCAGAAATATTCATTAAATATAACTAAAGAAATGTCACATTTGTAGTGTGAGAGCGAGAGAGACAGGAGGTGAGAGAGACGGTAAGAAAGCGAGTGTCAACAACGCGAGACATTGAACAGCTAATCGGGCGACCTCGCCAAGTCGCCCGTTGGCTTTAGCGTGAGAACCTGCAAGAGCACACCTTGGCACGTGTCATTCGCGCACCACCTGCATACCAGTCAACGTCCTTCACACACACACACACATAGCTTAGGCCTAATTCAAGTATGGTCAACCCATGGATGTTAGCTGAGGCGAGTGCCAGCTCCACTGGGGGCCAATCATTGCAGCTGTTCCGACAATACTTCGTAAATATTGATGGCTCATCAAGCGGCCAACTACAAAATGCGTCAAATGGCCATTCACATAAACAAATAAATCAGAGCTACAATAAGAAGGGAGTGTGAAGAGTGCAGAGGTTGCTTCAGTTAATAGTGACTCGCCTAGACTCTGAACTAAACTCGATTGATTTTGCATTCATATTTCATACAATCTTCATATATACATTATAATATATATGTATAAAATATATACAATAAATATATACATATATTACCATATATCATATGATGTTTGTTTTCCTTTTCACCTTTTATTCTTTATCGATTTTGTGACCGTAAAAACAGCTCGATAATGTGTTGAATTTTTGCATTTACATATTTATACTCGCTCATCAAATAAAAGGAGTATATTGGTTCTATGCAATATCTTCCTTTTCTCTCTTCCTTTCAATATATGTACGTAGTCAGGGCAAAAGCAGATTACATCGAGCCGAAGTTCATTTTCTGATTCTGAATTATAAATTTGATACCTCGAGTGTTCAACTCTGGGTAAGGTGCTCCGGCCTTCAAATACGCCCATTATGTACGGATTCGCACGGAACTTAAAATTATATAGCATATACTACTCCCTTTTGGAGGCGTGGCTGATTGCGAAAAGCTTTAGTGTCTAGTTAGGAATTCTAAATTTGAAAGCCAATTCTTCTTGACCTCCCTATTTAAAACATATATCTACATACATACATACATCGGATATACCTAGCTAATATCATTATAAACGCTTCGTCTTTAAGAGGCTTTCAAGTTTCTTATTGAAATGAAACCTAGATTATTAATTAAATTCTTTAAATACAAAAAAATAAATAAATAATAATAATAATAATACTAATTTATTGTTTATAAAATTTTCTCAACAAATATTTGTAAGTTTCTATAGTTTCATTGCAAGCCAAACTAATTCCTTAACATAATAAAGTCTGAATTATGCAGGAAAATAATTGATCCGGAGCGAAAGCTCGAAAATAGTTCTTGATGATATCTCGCATACAATTATTTTAATTGCCAAGCAACACTATATGTATATATATTTCACTTAATGGATGTGAAATAAAACATGATAAGCACATACCGTGGCTAACCCTAGGGATTATTGGGCAATTAATAAACAAGAGCTGAGCGGACCCACTACTAATGAGACCCATTCCAAGGCGCTGGCTTAAGGTCAACATCGTAACGCAACGATTGATAAAACCAACTGGCCGAGATTTTACAAGCTCAAATTTCCGGATTACGTAAAATATACATATATACATATATATATACTTATATACATAGATAGGCAATCAAAGTAAGTTGACAATCGAGCCAAGTGGTTGCAATTAAATAATGATATGATAGTGTGAGTCTATGACCACGAATTGTTGTTTTTGTTGACGATGTTGTGGTTTCTAGGTGGTTTGATTTGGCTACAAGTGCGGCAATCAACATACATATAGCGGCTATATTTATGGATCTCATATTTTATTGCGGGTACAGAGTGTCAACTCTTTATGGTTAAAGATAAAAGGGACCGTGGAAAAAACTAATCAGTTTTGCGCTTTTTTTTTTTGAAACAAATCGATAGGCTCCAACAGAACATCTATTGTTTTGTCCAGTTCTTATTCTTTTTTATATTTTTTAAATTCCGATTTTTCATATATTTAAAAAAAAAATTTTTTATGCACTATACTCACAGTAAATTGCGTACATCACAGGGCCGTGTGAGAAATGCCGGTATCAATATGATCGCATTGATGGAGACGATTCCATAGTATATCATGAACTTGAAGTAATAGCGAAATATGTGATTCGTCTCGTACAGAAAGGGCAACATCAGCAGCACGAACAGTCCGAACAGTTCCAGATACGAGCTCATTGTGAGCCTGACTCAGTCTGTGTAGGTGAGCGTGTTAGTGTGCGGGAGTGCGGATGTGTGTGTGCTTGTGTGAGTGTGTGTGTGTGTGTGTGTGTGTGTGTGTGTGTGTGTGTGTGTGTGTGTGTGTGTAGCCAGTCTGCAATATGCTCGCAATCCCTTGTACTTTCACTTGATTTATTTGCTCTAGCTCAGTTCTGTTGCTTCTTTCTTCCGTCTGTTGCCGTTATTGCGCGACACTTAGGGCAGCACGGCGGTGCAGTCTTCGCTCTTTTATGGGTAACACTGCTCTCAGCTGAAACGAAGCAAAAGTAGACCGCAATTATATGACCAGCTGCATAGCATTTCAATTAGAGACGAGAGCGTGTCGTGCTATTATGAAAGATATTGCAAAGAAACTAAAACAAGCAAGTAAGAACGTTGCAGTCGGGCGTTACCGACTGCGGAATACTCATTCACATCCCATCAGCAATTTAGTAGTTAAGTTTAGCTCTAATCCTGTAGAAAATGCGGGTTTTCCCGATTTGCCACGCCCGTACTGGGCGTAGACACCTCATTTTTGGTCTGTTTTTAAAACGAGCTAACGGTACCCTAACTAAAAAATTTGAATACACGAGTCCATGTTCCAAATTTCAGTCTCTAGCTTCAATAGCGCCGAAATAAACTGCGCTCATACGGACAGACGGACAGACGGACATTGCACAAAACCAATATACTAATTCACTTTCATGAATGAGTATAAATACAAGAAAACCAAAATGCAGAACAGAATTTGCAAATAATTATATGTATAATAATATATTTAAATATAAATGTAATTTTTTTATTACAATAAATAATACAAGTATTCGAGTTAACTTAACTACCTTCCTAACTACTACGAAATTGAACAATTCTCTACTTAATTTTCCTTTGTCAAGTCATTATTTTCACGCACGACACGCGTTCATCTCTAGCCTAATTGGTGTTGTCAACCATGTTACATTCTGATTTGTATGCTATTTAAACGGACACCAGTGTAAATGACTATTCGAGTCGGAACGAGAGCTAGCTATGCCCATATGTACATACATACATACATACATACATACATATGTATGTATATACATTCAGGTTTGGTTGAGCGGGGCAAAGGGAAGGTTGCGTGCGTTTCGCGGCCCATTCTTTTGCTGCATTACCATGATTATTTGGAGAGTGCAGCAGAAACAAGAACAACACAAACGGTACACACGTTCACTCACACACACACACACACACATACACTCGCACATGCAAGCAACGGTGTGTTTCACGTGCCGGGAATAATGTCAGAAGAAAATCAATTTTAATTGCTGAGCAAAACAAAATAGTAAAATTTGTGGAAATCATTTTATTTTATTTTCTCTTGCGGGCTATTCAGTCACTCTTCCTGAGATAATGAAATGTAGATGAAACGATTATGGCTGGAGCAGTGATCAAAAGTTCATTAGGCTAATTGCACCAGCAAATTAATTCATATTAATATGATATATTGTTTCTATATTGTATATTGTATATTGAGTGTTTACTGCTAATAGGTTCGAATCGCGATATATGTAAATCCACTTTTATATTATTAACTTATATTGCGTAATTACCTTTTTTTGGGGTCTCTGAATAAAATAGATATTTAAGCTAAATTTTCAGACATAATTGTAATCAACATTTATGACATAGAGTAAACATGGTCTAAGATCGAAATTTTGAAAGGAGTATAGGTCCCCCACAAGTATGCAGCAAGAAATTTATAGAACAGAAAACTACAGAATTACAACTCGAGAGTTCTCGGCGTCTACATATCCTGCAGTCAAATCAAAAATGCCATTGACTTTTGATAACTGCCTTAAAAGGTATCTTTAAGGAGTATACACGCATTAACATACCCCTTAATATAGTGTATATGTCGCATTCCTAGAGTATAATTTACTAGTATAACTTTAAATGACCTGAAGAAATCAATTCCCTTGGTAGTCACAGCTACCCACTTGACAAACTTACAGGGTATGCACATACATATATACATACATATTTCGTATGAATTTGGCCAAATTTCGGTTGAGCAAATCTATGACCTTACAAAAAATTGATTTGTTTTTGTGCAAGCCGGCAGGACATTGACCCACACAACATACTACACCACACACACGCACATATACGCACACGCACACTACCACGAGTCTTGAAATTCAAACATACATACATATATATTTGTTTACGCCTCATATATGTACATACATATGCATGTGTGATCCACGGCTTTGTGTGTGAGTGCAGATGTACGAAAATTTTTGGCATCGTTCCGCCAAGCGCGTGTGTGAGCGAAATGCAACAACAATAACAAGGTGAGGGTTGTAGAGAGCATGAGAGCGTAGCAGACCCGCCAATAAAAGGCATTGACACACACACAGGGAATAGAGAGCGAGAGCGAGCGATATGCTAAGGATAACAAGCACAACAAATGAAAAATAAATAGGGAAAAGAAGAAAAATGAGAATGCATAGCATAACATAATTAAACTGCTGCTCTGAGTTATTTTGCGATTACTTTCTGGGCATCTGTTTCTGTTCTTATTTTGCTGTGTGCTTTGCAGTTATTTCGTTTTTGTTTTGGCTTTCTTGTTGTTGGAGTAACTGCGGCAGCTTCTTTTTACAGCGCTGCTCGCTGCTCGCTGCTTACTGCTTGCTGTTTGTCGGCGTCTGTGCTTTGCAGCCGGGACAACTCGCACAGGCACATGCTCTTAATATTCTCTTACTCACACATACACTCTCAGGCGGAATTAAGTAAAGTAATTTTAATAAAACACAATTGATGAACGAGAACCAACGATTCGAGCGAGCCAAGCTTGACAGCAACACATCAAATTGAGTTCAACTACCAAGTACCACAAAAGACAAGCATGCAGCATTTTCCTTTTCTTATTATGTGTACTTTTTTTTTTCATACTTTTGGTGAACGCATTGTGTTGTGTATATTTTAATGAAAGGAATTACGTTTTTGCTTGATGCGACGCCGCTGCGCTTGACAGTGTTGGCAGCGACGGCGACGACGACCGGTCGCCGTTAAAACGTAGAGCGCGAAAAACTTTGACGAGAATTTCCGTTACCGACGTGCTTACTCTGCGCGGCGAAAAAAAAAAACAACAACAAATTGTAATTAAATTGATTCTTAGCAGAGTATGCTATTTAACATGATACACAATGTTATACTCAAAGTGTACTGTCTATTTTTTCAACTTGAAGAATGTTACTGGCTTAACGACAGTCCCTGTTAACATTTACTCACCCAACGAAATGTTATGTGTCTAATTTCGACTTGACGAATAGATACGACTTGCATTTTAATATTTACATATCGATGTATCCCAATCATCTCTGATATTTGTGTGCATTGGTTCTTGTCTTTGCTTATGAGTTTAGAGCGTATTTTAAACCAAAGATTAGTACTTCAAAAATGCGCTAAAAACTATTATATTCTTCAGGCATTTCTTAAAGCAGTTCATTGGAATTATAGGGCTCCCATTTCATGATATGTGTGTGTACTTGGTAGAACATACCACAGCTTGCGCAATAATTTTGCTGTCTTTCCGCCTGCCTGAGCTTGGCGACCGCCAAGAGGAGCCCTGATTATGTACATACATATGTATGTATGTATCCCCCCACCCCAGTCTCTATCCAAGTGACGAAAAGCTTGGCATGTGCAAAACGTGTTGTTGTCGGGCGATAGAAAAAATAACAAAAATATTTTTGTTTACATGGATGTTTGGGCTGCCATACAAAATGAAAATGATGACGCGCTGATAATCCGGATTTAACCCTGGGACGCCATCAAATCGATATGACGGACATCGGCCAATAATCAAATTCATGCTGAGCGAACGGTTTCATCAAGGAGCAATTATTTAATGTATTAAATGTATTCAACATATTCAAGTCTGTTTGCCATTGCTTAAACTTTTCATATTCAATGACCATATTGCTTTTAAATCCAAATTACAGCAGCTTCGCTCGCTCACAAGTTAACAGAAAAATAAACAGAACTTGAGCTGTGGCAGAGAGCGCAGAAGAGTCATGCGATACTTTGGGTGCGCTCTGTCTCTCTCTTGCTATCACATTTTGAGTAACTGTAGGCGATCGTCAATGCTAAACTCGCGATGGAGCAATAGGTTAGGGGCGCGACTGCGCTACTGAAATTATGACGTCACAAACTGTTGACAACTGACTTATCTATGAAAGCTTTCATTAAACCGTTCTGTAACACCATTTTGAATCTTTCATACATGTCCACTAAGCTGTAAATATGTATGTCCATGCATTTTAAAGCGAACAATGCTCAAGTGTTATCGGTGTGTTGACAAGTTAATAATTAATAATCTGACGTCACACTCTCCATAACAACACTCCCTTTGAACCTTTCGATCGAAGTGCCAATGCATTGCTGAATGGACTGTTGCCATGTGTGCGTGTGTTAGCTTGTGTGCAAGTGTTTGTGTGTGTGAGTGCTGTATTTTATTCGAGATATACGATGCGATGGCAGACACATAAAGACGCCGGCGGTGCGGCTATTGGCGCACAGTTTGCTTGGAGCTTGACTTCGATACGCATTGTAGGCAGCATTGGAACGAATAGCGAACGCAAAGCAGAACGCGCAACACGTGTGCCAATTGAAATTGAAAACAAATTGAGGCACAATTGAAAGCAGTCGCCGCAACAAGAGCACACGGACAATGTCAACCACAACGACAACGAGTAAGTACACGACTCCTCTTCCTCCACCCTAACCGCTGTCAACTAAAGCCTCGTCTACAGTTGACGGCTACAAGCTGGGCAAGGTGCTTATCGAGGGCAAAACGAAGCAGGTCTACAATCTGCCCGAGCATCCTGGCCTCTGTCTGCTGCTCAGCAAGGATCGTATCACCGCCGGCGATGGCGTCAAGGCCCACGATCTGGCTGGCAAGGCGCAGATCTCCAACACGACCAATGGCCAGGTATTTCGCCTGCTCAACGAGGCCGGTAAGTGTCGCTCTCTCTCTCTCTCTCTCCCCCTCTCTCTTGTCTCATTTTCGCTCTATTTTGATTTCGCCATAGGCGTTCGCACTGCATATGTTAAGCAGTGCGGCGAGAAGGCGTTCATTGCCCGCAGATGCGAAATGATTCCAATCGAGTGGGTTACGCGCCGCCTGGCAACCGGCTCCTTTCTCAAGCGCAATGTGGGCGTGCCCGAGGGCTACAGGTCAGTAACATTCGGTTAGGTTATCTACCTTGCAATTTAGATGCGACTGCTGCGCGTCTTATCAATTGCAACGAACGTCAGTGCAGTCGGTAAGCAACCAACCCATCCCCCCTCCTCCTACTCTTGCTTATTGCTGGTAATCATAGATTGAAATACAATTGATGCGCTGCATCGAGGTCGTTCCGTTGACCCCGCAGCATTGATAAGCGACACAACAAAAACAACAACAGGCGAAAAGCATGCTTAAAATAACACAACTTTGACAATCGACGTAAATTAGCGGAAACTTTTATGAAAATTATTTTTCTATTCATCAGCTACAACTGTGACCTCTTCAAAGTAATCCCCATTAGATACTATTCTACACTCGTATACCACTATAATAGTACAAAGCAAATTGATTTGATCTTCTCTATCGATATCTTATCGATAACTATATGTGCTGTATTCGATTTATATAGTTTTATACTTCTTTACATCCAGACTATTTATCCATAGCAATATGATGTGACTTGGCTGTGTATATCGATAACTGCAATAGTATACATTAATATATATTTTATAGGTTGTCGATGACTTAACGCGAAATTTACTGTGTAGATCGATAACAGTTTATTTACAGTTATATATTCTTAAATAGATCGATAACTCAACTACGACTTATCGATAACTATGTAAAAAGTAACTCCTATGCATATCGATCACTGCATCTGTCTAATCAATTCTCTCTTTCTTTCTCACAGATTCTCGCCCCCTAAGCAGGAGACGTTCTTCAAGGACGACGCCAATCACGATCCCCAGTGGAGCGATGAGCAAATCATTTCGGCCAAATTCGAGCTAAACGGTTTAACAATTGGTAAGTGGCAAAAAGAAGAAGAACCTGCAACAGATTCGAGTCGAGTGGAGCTAATTGGAATATGCTTGAATTGCAGGTCAGGATGAGGTGGACATTATGCGACGCACCACGCTGCTCGTCTTCGAGATCTTGGAGCGTGCCTGGCAGACGAAGAACTGTGCGCTCATCGATATGAAGGTGGAGTTCGGTGTGGATGACGATGGCAACATTGTACTGGCCGATATCATAGACTCGGATTCGTGGCGGCTTTGGCCAGCGGGCGACAAGCGTCTGATGGTCGACAAGCAGGTATATCGCAACCTGACATCGGTCACCAGCACCGATCTGGACACGGTGAAGCGCAACTTCATCTGGGTGTCTGAGCAATTGGCCGATATCGTGCCCCGCAAGGATCACTTGGTTGTCATCCTGATGGGCAGCGCTTCGGATACATCGCACAGCGAGAAGATTGCCAGTAGCTGCCGCTCGCTCGGCCTCAACGTGGAGCTGCGCGTCAGCTCGGCCCACAAGGCCCCGGAGGAGACTCTGCGCATTGTCCGTGAATACGAATCGGTGATGACGAATCTGATCTTTGTGGCCGTCGCCGGTCGCTCCAATGGCCTGGGCCCCGTCCTCTCCGGCAGCACCAACTATCCGGTGATCAACTGTCCACCCGTCAAGTCGGACAATATGCAGGTGGACGCCTGGTCGAGCCTGAATCTGCCGTCGGGCCTGGGCTGTGCCACTGTGCTCTATCCGGAGGCAGCGGCGCTGCACGCGGCCACCATTCTGGGCCTCAGCAACTTTATGATCTGGTCCAAGCTGCGCGTGAAGCAGCTCAACAATTTCGTGACCCTAAAGAAGGCCGACAAGGAGCTGCGCGGCGTGCGCAATGTTTGATGCGGAACGGGCCCTTTGTAACAGTGCCACTTTTTTTTTACATATATATAATTATGCATTTTTTTTTCTTTCAACTATTTTCTTCTCTCTTATGTTATGTTTTAGCTTAGTTTGCAAAAATGCAAATAATACAATAAAATAAATCAAAATTACAAAAAATTCCAAATAGTCGAGACACATTTTTGATTAAACGACGGGTTTGTGCCTTAGCTGGTAACAGATTATGATGTTGTATAATATATAGTAGACATGTATGTATGTGGTATGGTATATATTTATTTTTGAATTATTTTCTGCTCTCTTCTATGTTACTAACTAGTAAGCTAAGTTTGTACAAATAGAATTTTAAAAAATCTAAATTTTAAATAAAAATCAAAATAGTCGAGACACATTACGATTTAACGACGGGTTTGTATCTTAGCTGTTTATATGCGAGACACATTCTTGGGGTGCGCATGGGGCGGCGGAGGGTTGTGTCTTGGCTAACACCTTAGATTTTTGTAGCCTACTTTTTAGCTGCGCATTAAAATATTTAAAGGGATTCTTTGTGGCTGTTTCTGATTGGACCAGCTGGCTGAATTAGAGTTTAAATTATTTAACTTATATTTCTTTCTTGTGTGTGCAATTTAAAATTTATATCTAAAACTTTAAATTGCACACTTAATCAATAATAGCAGAAAATCGCTATTAAATAACTTTTTCCTGCACATATGCATATATGCATATGTAAATATGTGTGTATGTATGTATGCTTACTTTGTGGGTATTTGACATACTTTGAGTCAGCCACAGCCATTATCAGATAAGGCAATTAAAGTGCTTTTTAGCTAATTCTTTAGCAAACATTTCACGCAAGATTTTCAAATTTCATAATCTCACTAAAGCCAAACATTTCTCTCTTATCTGTTGCAGCATATGCGCCATTAGCAGCACCCATCCGCCCTCTGCCTCACTCGCTCACTCTCTGTTTCTCGCTCTCTCTTGCCCTCTCCCCCGCTCTTGCTGTAGCCTTCGCAAAGCCTTGGAAACTGAGCTGCGTAGATTTAGCATTCTTTGAAGGCGACAGTTGAGCTACTCCAGTTACCGACCCACCCGCTCTCTATCACCATCTCTCTCACTCTCTCTATCTATCTATCTCAGCCCTCTTGCCACGCCCATGCAGACTAAGCACTGATAAGAGCTGGAAAATGGAAGATGA